CTTGTTAACTGTTTGTAAACCGTGTCCACCCAGGTGGCTGTCAATGGAAAACACACGCTGCTCTACGCCCACAGGATCAGCCCCGAGAAAATCGACACCCTGGGCATCTACGGCAAAGTGAGCATCCACTCCGTGGGCTTCAGCTTCAGCTCGGTGAGTGGCCTTCCCCCACGCGGGGCCGTCGGTGACGCTTCCTGCCGAGATGGAAGGAAACCCCTTCAGTTAACGCCTGGACCCCCCCATGCTATTGCCGTCTGCAGACCTCCAATCTAGGGCAGCTCCAACAAAAAGCCCTTTTTAGCCGCTGGGGCTGTTCCCTCGACCCAGGAGTACGGGGGAGTCTCTCCAAGATGTTTCCTGGAGGTGGGCTGTCTGAGAAAAGGGGTGTCTGCATTTTAAGTTGTGGTTGAAAGTGCTAACTTGCCCTCCCAAAATACTAAGGCAGAATTCTCAAGCATATTTAAACAAAATAATAAAGTGTATGGATTTGAGAGAGGGAGGAAGGGAGAGGGAGATAGGGACATTTATGTTGATCGATCGCTGCCTCCTGCATGCCCCCCGCCAGGAATCGAGTCTGCAACCCCACATGTGCCCTGACCGGGAATCAGACCTGCAACCTCTCGGTGCACGGGTCGCCGCTCAGCCACTGAGCCCCACTGGCCGGGCTGTAATGCTTGTTGTTATGTCAAGCAGATTGCACTTGGAATTGGATGGATGCTAACGATCAGTCTTATCTTTTCTTCAGGATTTAAGGAGCGCCCAAGCATCCACTCTGGAAGTGGCAGTTCTGAATGGAGAAGATGTAAGTGTCAAGTCTTTGAATGAACCACAGTTTATTTTTTTTTAAAGAATGCAGTTGTTTTTTTAAAAAAATATATATTTCTTTATTGATTTCAGAGAGGAAGGGAGAGGGAGAGTTAGAAACGTCAATGATGAGAGAATCATTGATTGGCTGCCTCCTGCACGTCCCGTCCCCACTGGGGATCGAGCCGCAACCTGGGCATGTGCCCTTGGCCGGAATCGAACCCGGGACCTCCCAGTCCGCAGGCCGACGCTCTTTCCACTGAGCCAAACCGGCTAGGGCTGAACCACCAGTTTAAAACGGGGGTCGGGGGGGGGGGTTAGGGGTACAGGATTCCGATTGTTCTTCCAGCCTGAGGAGCCCTGACGACTCCGGACCACACCGCCATGGAGCTCTTGTTGCCTGGGGATCAGCCCCAGGGCAGAGCAGGCACTGTGGTCCCAGCCAGGCTGGCTCAGGACACTAGGGAGATCCAGTTACTCCTGTTACGTACACAGCGCTGCGGTTCTTTCCTTTCAGGCGTCCTCATTCTGTCTCTCTCTCCCCGTAGGTACCCAGTGCCGGCATGTCACAGTTTGTAAGTATTGCTGCCTGGTAGAATATGTAGAACATTCTGTAAAGCTGCCCAGTGAGCGAGTGGTTTCAGTGTTGGAAGACAGCGCCATTCATCCCAGCCCTCACTGCGGCCCTGTCTCCCCACAGCCTAGTAATAGAGGAGACACTGATAAAATCGTACCCAGAACTGTCTGCACCAAGAGCAAAGGTTCGACTGCCCATCACACTTTGACTTGCGCCAAAATACTACCTATCAACTGTTTGTCAAAGGTTTGAAGAGCCCCCAATGTTTACTCCCGTAGGACGAGTTAAGTTTTAATTTGCTGATAAATGGTGCCTCGACCCTCCGTAGAAGCCCAGAGCAGCCACCTGGCATGTGTGTGCTGCCCCTGGACATCCTCCGGCCCCAGGCCCCTAAGGAGCCATTGGTGTGATTCCCTCCCTGCCCCCTCGAGGCAGGAGCAGCGTTTCCGACCCCACCCACAGGCTCTTCGGCGGGAGCCTCACTCACTCAGGACAGCAGGTCCCACTCCACACCCCTCCTTTCATGAGTGTTTGCCGTGAGCCAGGCACAGTGGTTCCTGCTGGGGGTCCATCCGGGACCAGGGCAGACACCGACTGTCCCTTCATGGGGTTGACAGCCACAGCCTTTGAACACGTCCGTGTTTGGGCAGTTTTCCCACATGATGGCGTCCTGCAGGCTTCCTGGTGCCGACTGTGGTCTCTTTTCAGAGTCTGCCTTTCGTGGCGAGGTTGAACTCCTCCATGGGCCCTGGACGGACTGTCGTCATTAAAGGAGAAGTGAACGCGAAGGCCAAAGGGTTGGTATCACTGAGTTAACAGTAATAGTGCAACCCCCTTCCACGTGTGACAAGTGCAACCCCCTCCCACGTGTAATAGTGCAACCCTCTCCCACGTGTGACAGTGCAACCCCCTCCCACGTGTGACAGTGCAACCCTCTCCCACGTGTGACAGTGCAACCCTCGTCCACGTGTGACAGTGCAACCCTCCCACGTGTCTCCTCTTAGCTCTCACCGCACAACCGTCTTGTGAGATCCCAGTAGTGCTAGGGTGCCAGTCCTCAGCTGAAAGGTGCGGGTAATAAAGAACTTAGGCTGCTCACTGGTTGGTGGCAGAACCAGGACTAAATCCTAATGTTGTGGCCAGACTCAGGGTGTCCCTCCTTCCCTGGCAGAATCCAGGGCAGCCCTGGGAGGTCCTGTAGCTCTTGTTAGGGCCCCTCTTGTCATGTAACTTGTAAAATGCCTGCTTTACGGACCTTCTCCAGGGATATTCGGATTCTGAAAGCTTGAAATGAGGTATTTCCTAGACAGAAGTACACTTCCAAGAACAGAACACACAGACATGAGGAGAATCCCTTGACAGGACCCTGCCCCCCGCAGCTGAAGAACTCACTTGGCTTATTCTTCTAAACCCTCAGCTTCCTAACCAGATCCGTACCTTCAACATTGATTTTAAAGTTCTTTTTTTCCATCTTCATTTTACAAATAACATATCTATGGAATGCTAACTTGGAATTTACAGTTTCATTTCACCTTTCGTGTTCCTATGTCCATATGCATACTTATATTTTGTGTAATTATAATCAGAGTTCAGTTCTGCTTGTTACATTTCAGAAAGTGCACTACTCTCTTCTAGTTGACTAAATTTTATTTTTTTTGTCTTAAAAGCTTTAATGTTGATCTGATATCAGGAAAATCAAAGGATATTGCTCTCCACTTGAACCCGCGCCTGAATAGTAAAGCATTTATAAGGAATTCTTTCCTTCAAGAGTCCTGGGGAGAAGAAGAGAGAAATATTACCTGTTTCCCATTTAGTCCTGGGATGTACTTTGAGGTAAGATCATATTTTGAAAACGGGATGGGGAAAAGGATCCTGGGAGCAGGGGTCAGACAGACGGTCCGTGCAGGTCAAGCCCTACTGTGCAGCTGTGTGTGTGTGTGTTTTATTTTGAGATTGTATTTTCAATGTCCTATTTATAACATAGAAAGTCAGTGCAAATGGCAAACCCAGTAGAATGGAATTATTAGACATTTGTTGTCATGTCAAAAACTGGATAGCCCGTTAGTTAATGGGAATTTTAGCAGGAACCTTGTCTCAGTCCTGGGGTGATATTTTTAATGCCCCGTGGATATGGAGACACGGGGGCCATGAAACTGCCTGCACTGCCATCGTCCCTGTTGGTCACACACAGCTTTGGGTGGCAGCCCTTTCTTCCAGGAAGTGAGTCCTGTTTGTACAAGAAACTCAGATTTTTAAACCAAGGGAAGCACTAACGTTGCGCGTCCTTTCCTTTCAGATGATAATTTACTGTGATGTTAAGGAGTTCAAGGTTGCGGTGAATGGCGTCCACAGCCTGGAGTACAAGCACAGGTTTAAAGAGCTCCCCAGCATCGACACCCTGGAGGTTGACGGAGACATCCAGCTGCTGGAAGTAAGGAGCTGGTAGCTGGCACGACCACCACAAAAACTGAAATACAGAATGGCTTACGTGACACTGGCCTGGTTAAAATGCATCTCACGACCATACTACCTGTGTATATAGTTAAGATGAGCTTCCGCAGCATTAGTCCTCCTGGTGTCCTTAGACCTGTCATGCAGGAGGCTCTGTCTAGCGCAGGAGGAGGAAGTTGGAGGCAGCAGCAGCTTATGCATTATTCAGGCCTCCTCCTCTCTCCCCACCTGCCTCTCGTTTATAACCTGCTTCACAGTCACCAGGCACTGGTGAGGTGCCTGCAATATACAGCAGCAAACATGCATCGAGCACTGCCTTTGCCAGCACTGTGCTGGGTTGGATGTACAGTGGTGTCCAAAACCATGTTCCTTATGCTCTTCTGTCTGCCCTTGTGCCACTGCAGGTTAGATACACTCACCAGGGCCTTGGAATGACTCAGCTATTAAATCACCTAAGACATTAATTATAGAAGACACTACTACAGCCCCAGGGACCACATTCTTAAGGAGCCTTCTCTCATCCCCGCAGCCGAGGAGTTGATAGCGACTTACATCTGGCAGTTCCCTTTAACATAATAAGCATCTAACTGTAAGCACCACCAAATCATTAACACTATGACATGAACACGGCACAGAGATTAAGGTAACAAAACGAAGCAAAAGCAACAAAAACAAATGGTGTTGAAATTCACTTGATGTTGATCACAATACTTTTGTACCAGTAAGTGGTTATTGTAGAATATTTTTTTTATGAATTTAGGGGGAGTTAAAGGTCTGCACATACCTGTACAGAGAGTTTAAGGTAGAAGTGAGAGGAATTCAATTTGCAAATGTTTATGGGTCACAAAGCAAAGTTAAGAATTGATTTAATGTTTATGAAACAGGCCCTACCAGAAAGTTAAATAGACCAACGTGGAGAGGCAACATAAACACCTGTTGGTTGTCTGCATGCAAAGCGACACCGCCTCTCTGCTCTTCCAGATTAGTCCATCACTAGGCTGAGATCAAACATTGTTCTATCTAAGTGATTAAATCAAACCTGTATCAGCAAGTTAAGTGTTGCATTTCAACGAAGCAAAAGCAACAAAAACAAATGGTGTTGAAATTCACTTGATGTTGATCACAATACTTTTGTACCAGTAAGTGGTTATTGTAGAATATTTTTTCTATGAATTTAGGGGGAGTTAAAGGTCTGCACATACCTGTACAGAGAGTTTAAGGTAGAAGTGAGAGGAATTCAATTTGCAAATGTTTATGGGTCACAAAGCAAAGTTAAGAATTGATTTAATGTTTATGAAACAGGCCCTACCAGAAAGTGAAATAGACCAACGTAGAGAGGCAACATAAACACCTGTTCGTTGTCTGCATGCAAAGCGACACCGCCTCTCTGCTTTTCCAAAGATTAGTCCATCACTAGGCTGAGATCAAACATTGTTCTATCTGAGTGATTAAATCAAACCTGTATCAGCAAGTTAAGTGTTGCATTTCTGTAATTTTTCCTATGATTCTTTGAAACGAGTTGGCAGAATTCTTTGCAGAATTCTTACATGTCAGATCTTGTTTCAGGAAATTTAAGAGGCTTGGGAGTGGGGAGGTAAAAAGCTACATCAGCCAGATCATTTGTCATATTAAATTGCTGAGCTGGATTCTGCCAGGATTGAGGAGCATTTTCATAACAGATATTCGTTATTTTTTAATACCAATATACTGAAAAGAAAAGAATACTATTACCAATATATACATATATATATAAATATATATTAGCATTCTTTCCCACATTTTCCTGTTAGTTTATTATGCCAAGTCTTGCCAAACTCAAAAAACATTGATGGGGGCGGGAGGGCAAGAAGACTCTAGAATCCCAGGGTTATTTTTCTTCTTCCTGAAAGTTTGCATGACTGAGATTTTCCTCTAAGTCCAATAGTTCATTTTACATGGAGATTGTAAAACAAAGGACTGAATACAAAATCTTAAGATGTTTTTGAAGTGAAGCTATTAGCATTTATGACTGAATCTTACTAAGACTTTCCTTGAAGAGAATATATGTGTCTCTAAACTGCATGTCAGCCTTTTGCTTCTTTGTCACGACTGTCACTGTGACATCATATAAGGATTAGAGAACTTCAAAAAAATGCGATTCTCTCTCATACAAGTGATTCTTGGTTACCACCAGTGGGAAAGTCCTCCTCCTACTCCTGGGGCGGGTGGAAGTGGGGGAGAGGTGGGGGGCTTCCGGTTGGTGCATCTGTCAGGTTTAGCTGTTTTAGAAACAGCCTGTAGCCTCCACTCCCTCCGCCCGCGCGAAAGGCCGAAAGATAAAGGAGATAATCATTGTCCTGAGTGAAAAATACATTCCAGAACTACTGCCCTCTATGGGCACACAAAAAATCAAGGCTGAGTGTTATCTACCCAAAATGAAACTAAAAGCCCAAATGGCTTTACACGGTCAAAAGCATTCTTGTTGAAAGCCGAATAACTCACTTTCTTGAAGTGAAGAAAATGTACTGCTTTGAGTGAATCTGACCTGGCTACCGGGTGCGTAAGACATTCCTTTACCGAAGAGCTAAGGGTTGCACCTGCAGTCCAGTGGGTATGGTCAGCTGGGGCGGGAGGATGAGACCTGCTGTACCAGCACAGTCAGGAAGGACTAATAAACGTTGAAACAACACAGCCGCCTGTATCAAACCACCACGTGTCATTTACTCTTTGCAATTCTGTACAGATGGCAGGAGGGGTTGGATGGAGTACAAACCAGGGAGGAATCTTGTCAAGTCCACGTTGGTGTGAAGGCACCAAAACGAACATGGCACCAAACACCCCAAATAAAAATATAAAATATAAATCCGAACTCTGAACAGAGTGCGAACCCCTCCCCCGGTCAGAAGTAGCTCTGCAGCGGCTCCCCCAGGACGGCCTCCAGCTGCTGCACTGTCCGCTGGCACTGATGCTCCACCTCTTCACACTCATCTAGAAGTGAAAGGACACGGGTCAGCTTCCGGCCCCGGTTCCCACCACCTCATCCAGGCGTCCCCCCGTCTCTGACCACCAGTCAGCAGACAGGGAAGCACATCAGAGAAGCGGAGGCACCTGGGAGCCTCCGTATTCCTGTGCCTTCCTCCCTGCCAGGGGTCTTAGGCCTGGGAGACAGAACCCAACAGAGGCCCCACAAAATTATTCCCAATTCCTGGCGGTGCCATGCTCCGGGCCATAAGAACCAGGTGCATGTCCTTTGTGGAGATGAGCCGTGGATCACCGTGAAAGCGGCGTGGCCTCCCTGCCTCCACCCCCCGCTTAGGGGGAAGCCCCACTGTCATTCCTTGGGCTGCGCTGTGCCTGGTGCTTCCTGGGCCCCGTGTCCACACCGCACACACCTGGCTCCCACCCCAGCTCCACTGTCACACGTGCTTTGTTAGTTCATCAAGTTACTTAATCCCTAAAGCCTCTAGTTCTCTCCTTTGTGAAACGAGCACTGTAACGGCATCTACGTCCTGAGGATAATGAGGACCATGCCCAGCGCGGAGTGGACGCTGGTCACTGTGAACAGGAAGCTGTCCTAGGCTGCCGCAATGCCCTAGACATCGTGCTACAACAGGCTACATCTGCAGCCAAAATACACGTGTGAGGGAAAGGCAAAGGAAAGGCCATCTCCTAATCTCTTCCCGCCACCCCACTCAAACAGGAACCCGGCCTCCCAGGTCCCCAGTTGGAGCCAAGACTATCCCACTGCACCCACATTTGCTTTTTCATTGGGAATTACCTTCCATCAATTCAGCTAAGAAAGGAATGGACTCTGGCAGCAAGACCATGTAATTCTCCTTCAGTGTCTCCGCCAGTGCGAGCACGGTAATGAGGGCCGCAAATCGAACCTGAGGGACCAAAGCAAAGGTTGGTAAAACTAGTATCTTAAAAACGAAATGTTCTTTAACGTGAGTTTATTTCACTTTATGTCCATTCAGCTTTCACCTAGGATGCCAGGTTACTGAGCAGCTTGGGATCTGTTTGTCATACAGGCAACCTGAACTGTGTTCCGCACTCTGACCCCCATGTCAGTGAGTGTCACTAGCTACACCTACCTTCCATTTCCCACAGACCCCTCGGCCTGAGATTCACTCTCACCCAAAGAAAGTCTGTGCACAAGCTCAGAGCATTGGTCTCTGGGAGCAGGGACACTTAAGACACTTAACGTCTTCTCAAGATTTAAAAGTGCAGAAGTATTAAAAGTATTTGAGTGTTCGTGCCACACACACACTATAGGGGCCGGGGAGGACTGCTGTTATTTATAAATAACCCGGAAGTAAAACCCAAAAACGCAGGCACAAACTTGTGTCCGGCACAGCCTGCCCGCTGGTGCTAGAAGATGGGCAGCCGTGTTTGTCCCGCTAGTTACCATGGTTGCACAGCTGTGAGCGCGATAGCTGTTTGGGCTACATGGCGAGAACACCGGGCACAGTGCTGGCACCAGTGCTGCCACCGCGGCTCCTGACCTTGGGCGAGGAGTCTCTCGTCTTCAGCAGGACCTGGTAGTTCAGGGGCTTCCAGAGGGAGTCGTCGGCCATGGCCACCGAGAACTGGGCGATGCAGGGGACCAGGTGCCTCGTCACCCGCTCCTGGAACCTCTCTTCTCCTCCCAGCCGGTTCTCCAGCTGAGGAGAGAGAAAAGGACTTTGAGCGACAGGGCTCATTCTGTTTGAAAAAATACCCAACGTATAAATAATATTCTACTGTCCTCATGGCGGGCTCAACACCAGGAGCTGTTACAAATTAAAAACTTAACCACTAGACCAGCGGTTGCCAACCTTTTAGACCTCACGGAACACTAGTGGTCTGTGGACCACCAGTTGGCGACCGCCGCATTAGACCTTACATTGTGCCTTTCATGTGAAAAATTCAAAAGCAGAGCTCAGTAAAACCACCAATGAAGATAAGTTAAATCCACAAAAAATGAGAAGTTAAAAGATGGTTTGACTTGGTTACCTGGTCCACCAGAGGCATCATCAAGGCTTCTGCTCTCTCTTTACTTAGAAAGTGCTGGGTGTCAAAAAGGAAGATTTTATGTAAACAGCTCAAGATAAACTGTAAGAGCAAGCAGCACTTTTCAGGGTCATTTTCAGAGTCAAAAAACGCTTCATCTGTAAGAGGGGGAAGAGTAAAAATGAAAAAAAATGTCACAATTGAATCTCCAACGTTTACATTCAAAATCACTATTGACAGAACTACAATCAAGAGGGCATTTCCTCCTCCATCTAGAAAGCAAGCTCAGGATGAGGGTGGCACCGTGGGTGGGCTCTTGGGTAAGTGATTCCTCCTTTCAGTTAACTCATGACCCATTAGCAGACACTTCAGGGCCTGACCACCGACTACAGCATGAAACACCCACCCTTTAGACTTACTGTACTTCCCGAGCTTGTGCAAGGCACACAGAGCAAGGTGTCAACGAGCTGGAGTCAGCTACCAACCTGTTTTGGAGATGTTCACCTGGTTCAAGGTGTCAGCAAAAGGCTTCACCAAGTGGCCGGCGAACAGAGTAAAGAGCCCTTTCAGTTTTGCGGCAATGCAATCCGCCAAGTTGTAAAACGTCAACAGTCTGTCCTTTGGGGCGTCCTCTGTCTTGGCCCAATCAAACAGCTAAAAAGAGAGAGAAGTAGGAGTTTATTCTACACATCTTGTTACTGAGAGGAGCACAGAGCAGACAGGGCGGAAGCAAGCTCACCTTGAAAAACAGGGGTCTGAATGTGACTTCGGAAAGTTTGACAACCATAGCTACCAGGCAGTCGATGATATGGTTTTCTGTTTTTCCAACTTCTTCCAGATCATTCTGAAAACAAAAGAGCTGTTTTATTAGGCAGAGTTCTGACATCCAGCTTTACATACTTCTGGCCAGTAGAACAGCTCACAGCTTTGGGCTGGCGCTCAGCAGGTGCGTTCAGGATTGGGGGGAGTGGCTCTAAGCTGACCTCAGGGTGCTGTGCCCGGAAGTCCAGGGCCTCCAGGAAAAACGTGGTGAGCTGAGACTGATGGGAGGTGAGCTCTTCCTTCTTCATGACCCCGATGTGCTCTTGCAAGATGCTCATAAACGGACCCATGTGGTTCTACCAGGAACACAGCAGAGAGAGGGGCCAGTTCTTCACACTCCAAGTTCATTATGAAGGGGAACCTGTCAGCACCGCACCTCCCCGCCCCAAAGTCCAACCCCGACAGATCTCACCCTCCAGTCCTTCTGGGTGTGCTTGTAGGTTTTGTTGATGGCCGGCAGCAGGACGCGGGGGGACAGAGTGGTGGCCAGTGTCTTTTTCAGAGACGCGAGACGGACATTCGCCTGGGAGGCTGCACCCATTTCACGCGTGATTTTCTCCAAATGAATCACCTACGGAAACAGAAAGACAGCGATCGAGGCCTCTGTGGCTCAGTGAGAACGTCTGCAGAGTCGCAGCGATGACTCGGGAAGACAGCCCAGATGCTAGTGGCTGGGAAGGCTCGGTACCCGTTTGCCAGAGAGTTCCCTTCCCAGCCAACCCTGACCGTCTGCAGATGCAAATGGACGGGTGTCTCTTTCCCAGCGGGAGTTGGGGACCTGGGTGAGTGGTCCGAGCACTCAGACTCGCGATGTTCTCAGGGCAGGAACCCAGCGCCATGAGAACCTGAGCTCCTCCTTGCTAGCAAACTTAGCAGGCTCCTCAGAGGGAGAGGTCCCCTTCTGTACATTTCAAGCGCTGGTTAAATCATTCGCATCAAGGAAGTTATAAATGGCAAACGATCGAGAGAACAGAACAGGTGCGGGGCCATTCTTGGGCATTTTCAGTTGGAAATGCCACCGGCCCACCGTTTGCAGCAAGCTCTGCACTGCACTGCAGGAGGCCTCCAACAGGAGAGCCGGACGCACCCGGTCCTACAGGAAGTAATAAAGGCAGCTCTGCCAGCTCAACGCCAAACCTCTCAGGGAAAAAAAG